TGTCTCTAATATCCGAAATGCTTTATAGAGGAAAATAATTTGGGCCATCTTATGCCATCTTCTGTCACACTGAGTAGCATCTTATTCTACAAATAGGTCCACTTATTTTAATGGGGCCACTTGTGGAGTTTAGTCAGGTCTACACTAAAGAGTTAGTTTGAGGTAAGGAAGGTTATGTCAGCTTAACTCTATAAGGCCAGGTCTACACTAAAGGGGAAGATGGATTTAAGATATGCAACTCCAGCTATGTTAATTATGTAGCTGGAGTCGACATATCTTAAATTGCGTTTTTGTGTTGTCCACACAGCGGGAGGAGCAGGACTCGTGAGGTGCAAGACTATTGGTGCTGATGGAGAAGCCTTCTCAGTTTGAATTAGCTGGTTTTCATTAGACCCACTAAATCAAACCCTGGAAGACTGACTGCGGCAGAGTCGATCTTTTGCATCGTGTAGACATGTCCTTATATGTCTATAGCCTTTCTCCTGCCAATGCAAGTTCTCCGCTACACTGTCCTAATAACTCTGCCTCCACAATGCAGAAAGTGCTTGTCAGTTTAGTTAGGGCGGCATGTTGTCTGTGTAGACACTTTGGGTATGTCTACACTACCACCCTAGTTCGAACGAGGTGTACAGATAGTTCCACGAGGTGTACAGATAGTTCGGAATGGCTTGCTAGTTCGAACTATCTAGCCCGTGCCGCGTGTAGCCACGCGGCACGGGGTTCGAACAAGCCGGCATTTAAAAATGGCGCCGGCCGGCTTATGCAAATGAAGCCCGGGAAATTCAAATCCCGGGCTTCTTTTGCAAGTGCGGTATGCCTACATTACCCCGCTAGTTCGAACTAACGGGGTAGTGTAGACATACCCTTTGTTACTTACATCACCTATCAGCACTATACTGCCTGCCAGCTCCAGGAATCACTCCCAGCACAGAACCTGGCTGCCTGGACCTGGGCTCTCACTCCATACAGAGCTGACAGACATGGAACACTACAATAATTATTGAGATGTCTCTAACTCAACCTAACATAAGTAAACTTAATTGTATAGTGTAGACAAAGCCTAAGGGCATGTCTTCACTTGCTGTGCCAGAGATCAACATTCTGACATTTGATTTAGTGGGTCTACTATAGACCTGTAAATCAAATGCTGAGAGCTGCTCCAGCCAGTGTCTGTACTCCTCACAATCACGAGGAGTAAGGGAAGCCGACGGGAGTGTTTGCTCCCTTTAGCCTCCGGCAGTGGGGATGGCACCAAGCCTGACTTAAGGCAAGCTGACTCCAATTATGTATAGGTAGCTGTAGTTGCATACCTTAAACTGACCTTTCAGGTCTAGTGTAGACCTGGCCTAAATTACTATTCATCATCATCAGAAGAGGCAGAATTTGATCCTTAAAGAGAGAAGGAAAGTTTTAAGAACAAAAGTAAAGAATGAAAAGTGTTGAGAGGGGTAGAAATTGGATGGTGCAATGCAAAATAATCAGCCCAAACTTAAATGAGAGGATAAGTAGCAGAGAGAAACTTTTATAGAAACACAGAACTGCAAGGAACCACAGGAGGTCATAAAATCCAGTCACCTGCACTCATGGCAAGACCAAGCATCATTTAGATCATCCCTGACAAATGTTTGTTTAACCTGCTCTTGCTAATCTCCAGTGGTGGAGATTCCACAATGTCCCTAGGGCAATTTTTTTTAAAATGGAGATTGCCTATCTCCTAGACTTGGAAGGGACCTTGAAAGGTTATTGAGTCCAGTCTGCTGCCTTAACAGTAGGACCAAGGACCATCCCTGACAAACTTTTGCCCAAATGGTCTCCACAAGGATTGAACTCACAACCCTGGTTTTAGTAGGCTAATGCTCAAACCACTGAGCTATCCCTCCCCCCATTTAGTCCAGTGCTTAACCAACTTGACAATTAGGAAGTTTTTTCCTACTATCCAACCTAGCCCCCCCGCTGCAATCTAAATCCATTGCTCCTTGTCCTGTCCTCAGAGCTTAAGGGAAATAATTTTTCTCCCTCTTTCTTAAACAATCTTTTAAGGCCAGGTCTATATTTGACCTGGAAGATTGACTTAAGGTATGCAACTCCAGTTTTAGCCACGCGGCACGGGGTTCGAACAAGCCGGCATTTAAAAATGGCGCCGGCCGGCTTATGCAAATGAAGCCCGGGAAATTCAAGACTACCAGCACTGACCAGGGGCACCCTCAGTGTTCAATTTAGCGGGCCTTACTAGACCTAATAATTCAAATGCTAGAAGATCACTCTCCAGTGCGGCAAGTGAAGAGGTGGCCTGGAAAGCTTGATATTTAAAAGTTCATGTCCCTTCTCAGTCTTCTCTTTTCCAGATTAAACAAACCCAATTCGTTCAGTCTTCCTTCGTAGGTCATGTTTCCTAGAGCTTTAATCATTTTTGTTGCTTTTCTCTAGACCTTCTCCTTCTCATATCTTTCCTGGAATGTGGTGCACAGAACTGTACATAATACTTCAATTGAGGCCTAATCAGCATAGAGTAGGGTGGAAAAATTACTTCTCGTGTCTTGCTTATAACACTCTTGTTAATATATCAGAGAATGTTTGCTTTTTTTCAATAGTGTTATACAGTTGACTTATATTTAGCCTACGATCTACTATGACCTACAGATGTCTTTTCGCCGTGCTTCTTCCTAGGTAGTCGTTTTCCTTTTTGTATGTTCCTTCCTGTGTTTTCCTGATTGTTCCTTTCTAAGTGGAATACTTGGCATTTGTCCTTATTGAATTTCATCTTCTTTACCTCACACCATTTCTCCAGTTTATCTACATCATTTTGAATGAAAATCCTATCCTCCAAAGCATTTACAATCCCTCCCAGCTTGGTATTATCTTCAAATGTACTGTCTACTTAAAAATATTCTCTATGCCATTATCTAAATTGTTGATGAGGATACTGAACAGAATGCACCCAAAACTGATCCCTGCAGAATCCTACTTATTATGCCCTTCCAACATGATTATGAACTATTGATAATTACTAACTGGGAATGGTTATCCAACCAGTTATGAACCCACTTTATAGTAGCCCCATGTAGGTTGTATTTTCCTAGTTTATTTAGGAAATTTAAGTAGGTCATGCAAGACCATATCAGATGACTTACTAAAATCTAGATATACTATATCTACCGCTTCCCCCTTATCCTCAAGGATTTTTATACTATCAAAGAAACATATCAGGTTGGTTTGACATGATTTGTTCTTTACAAATCCATGCTAACTGCTGTTACTTTCACATTATTATCATTTAGGTGTTTGCAAATTGATTGCTCAATTATTTGCTCTACTGTGTTCCCTGTCACAGAAATAAAGCTTACTGGTCTGTAAGTCCCTAAGTTGTCCATATGCCCCTTTTTATAGATGGGCACTATATTTGCCCTTTTCCTGTCTTCTGGAATCTCTCCTGTATTCCACAATAGGTAATGGCTCAGATATCTCCTCAGTCAGCTCCTTGAGTATGCCAGGGTGCATTTCTTCAGGCCCTCGCGACTTGAAGACATTCAACATGATTATGAACTATTGATAATTACTAACTGGGAATGGTTATCCAACCAGTTATGAACCCACTTTATAGTAGCCCCATGTAGGTTGTATTTTCCTAGTTTATTTAGGAAATTTAAGTAGGTCATGCAAGACCATATCAGATGACTTACTAAAATCTAGATATACTATATCTACCGCTTCCCCCTTATCCTCAAGGATTTTTATACTATCAAAGAAACATATCAGGTTGGTTTGACATGATTTGTTCTTTACAAATCCATGCTAACTGCTGTTACTTTCACATTATTATCATTTAGGAGTTTGCAAATTGATTGCTCAATTATTTGCTCTACTGTGTTCCCTGTCACAGAAATAAAGCTTACTGGTCTGTAAGTCCCTAAGTTGTCCATATGCCCCTTTTTATAGATGGGCACTATATTTGCCCTTTTCCTGTCTTCTGGAATCTCTCCTGTATTCCACAACAGGTAATGGCTCAGATATCTCCTCAGTCAGCTCCTTGAGTATGCCAGGATGCATTTCTTCAGGCCCTGGCGACTTGAAGACATCTAAGTTGACTAAGTAGTTTTTAACTTATTCTTTTCCTATTTTAGCTTCAAAACCTACCCCATTTTCATTGGCATTCACTATGCTAGACAACCTTCTTGGCAAAAACCAAAGCAAAGAAGTCATTAAGCACCTCTGCCAGTTCCACATTTTCTGTTATTATTTTTCCCTCTTCATTAAGTAATATATTTGTAGAGTGTTTTCTTATTACTTTTTATTTCTCTAGCTAGTTTGAGCTTGTTTTGTGCCTTGGCATTTCTAATTTTACCCCTACATATTTGCATTATTTGTTTATATTCATCTTTTGTAATTTGACCTAGCTTCTACTCTTTCTAGGACTCTTAAGATCTCCTTTTGAAGGCTTAGAGTGAGTGCTTGTTGAAATATGTGGGTGATAAATTAGAAAAAGAGTGTAACGGAAATCCAGGGAGAGTTTTTTAAAAATTAGGAAATTTCTGAAGCAGAACAAGAGATAAGTAATACAACTAAGGAGGGAATGGTGGATAGAAAAATTAGAGACTTGAGGAAAGCTGGACAGATGGCGGGAGAATGTGAAACTGAAGAGGGGAATTGAAGTCAACTTGATTAGGGCACAGGGCTGCTGGCTTATTTTTAGGGAAAGGAACAATGATTCAGAATGCTATTCCATCAATAGAGGTGTGTGGAGACTGATAAAGAATGAAATAAATAAATAAACCAAAAATGAGACTACTATCATCATCTCCTGAATAACAGGGATATTATGAAGTTGTTAGAGCCTAATTGTTGCTGCTGATGCATGTACAGAAGGGATTCTCTCCATGAGGATCAGCCTTAGTCTCAGAATAAGTGTCCCATGGCATCAATCCCCACTTTGAAACTCACAGAAGGTGCTTGGTATGATTCACAGTACATGCTGGAAGTAAGATTATAGGGGATCCACAGAGAAGGTACATTGTGAGGCTGTACGAATCCCTGGTTGGAGTGCCGTTCACACAATGGAATATCCCTACATGAGGGACTTCCAGGGGTGCTGTCCACCAAGGGACACTTGTCAGCATAGCTCTAGCCCAGGTTGGCAGAAAGCCAAAGAATAGCCACAAGGAGCCAGGAGGTAGCAAAAAGATAGTGGGCCTCCATGCTTGTCACTTCAGATTCTTAGGCTACATCTACACTACGAGTTTTATCAGTCAAAAATATGCTAATGAGGCACTCATTTGCGAGTCATTATCTCATTTGCATATTTTCTGCTGATCCTTTTTTGTGCTGGGGATTTTTCCGCAAAAACAAGTGGTGTGGATGGTTCCTTTTTGCGCAAAACCCTCATTTTCTGCAAGATCGGTATACCTCCTTTTTTGGGGCATAAGGATCTTGCAGAAAAAGGGGTTTTTATGCAAAAAGGAAACATCCACACTGCTTGTTTTTGCACAAAAACCCCTAGTGCAAAAATGGATCGGCAGGAAATATGCAAATGAGATCGCGACTCATGCAAATGAGTCCATCGTTAGCAATTTTTTTGCCGAGAAAACTCATAGTGTGAACGTAACCTTATATTCCCTGAGATTCATCTAGATGCTGAGGAACTGCAGGACTTGTTTCTCTAGAGGTGGGAGAGAGGCAAACCTATCTCCCAGTAGGAAAATCTTCAGAAAGCTCCATTAGATGAAAATGACATTTCCTTGCTTTTGTGTCTTTTTACATGGGTTTGCTTATAGGAAAGGGCAATCCGGACTAAAATTGTTTAACACATCCATTGTCTTCTTTAGATCTCCTGATGATTACCCAGCAGCCAGTGGGACACAGAGTCAGCCTGCAGACAGAAAGTGAGTTAACTTTGGTTCAGTATTTACTGCATAACTGTATGTGAGCATATATTTTTTCTGGTGTGTGTGCAGGGGGTGGCGGTGGGGGCTTGTTGGGTTTATGTGCTGCATCCAAACTGGATTTCTGTATCTTACATGGCTAAACAATTGTGCTGTCATATCTTATTTGGATATTGGAGGGAATCCTGCAGCAACATCTGGCGCTGAGCCGTAAGAAATCACTGATGCCAGGAAGTATTTGAGTGTTCAGAACAGCTATATTTCTGTATGAACTTGAAAAAGTCCCAAAGGGGTAAAACCACCAGCTTCTTGTTTTCACTCTGCTACCTGTGGAATAAATGGAAAAGTGACATAAACACAAGTCCAGTGATTTTAAAAAAAATTTAAACATCAAACATGCACTATATTTGTAGTGACCCATAACACGTATCTTGAAAGATTAGTTATGAATTTTCTTTGTTTTTGCAGTTGCTGATAAGAGGTCATTTCTGAAAGAAAAGAAACCTTTCTTTTTCGTATATAACTGACACTATATGGCTACTGACCTGCTCTTCATTGCTAAGGTGTCTGCGTCCATGCAAACATAACAACTGAATTGATCCTATGCCACAGTGTATGTGGGGAACAGGGTTGGCCTGTGAGCCTAGGTGAACTAGGCAGCTGCCTAGGGCGCCGCTGGCCCGGGCACCCAATGATGACGTCACGGCTATTGATGGCCGTGCAGGCAGGGGCGCCGATTGTGCCGCCCCGCCTAGGGCGCCAGCTGCTGCAGCCAGCCTTGGGCTGCTCCTGGTGTGGAAAGCACAAAATTCGAGTTTCTATTCAAAGGAAGAGGGAGCTTTGAACCAGTACTGGAGAAGTCTGTAATGATCGCATCACTTTTTAACAGGAATATGTCTTATTCCTTAGATTGGGCCAGCTTTTTCGGATCTCTCTTCTTCTTTACCTCAGAACGTGCCACCAAGAACTCTTCCCCTTCTACCTCTGTAGTCCTGCTTCTCTTTACTTCTTCCAGTTAGCCACAAAACAGCGGGTTATTTGCTGCTCATCAGCTAGCTTTCTCCGTTGTCACAATGCAAGAATGGGAACTGAAAGCATGAACTTACCCTTCTTTACTATTCGCTAAAGAATTTTAAGCAAGAAGCTGTTGGAGACCTATTTCCTTCTTCCCAAATAAGTAGTTCTGGGGCATCTGTAATGAGCTACTGCTCCCTTTCTTACCTCAGAATTCTATGGATTAGGGTCATCTGCTAATAAAGTCCTCCTTCCTCAACGCGCTCTCTCTGTCTCTCTCTGGCTGTGTCTATACTATAAGTCTACGTCTACACTGGCAGCTTTTTGCGCAAGAACTCTTTTGCAGAAGAGTTCTTGTGCAAAAAATCTTCCACAAGAGCACGTCTACACTGGCATGTGCTTTTGCGCTAGAGCATCCATGGCAGTGTGGATGCTCTCTTGTGCAAGAACACTCTGATGGCCATTTTAACCATAGGGGCTTCTTGCGCAAGAAATTCATGTTGCCTGTCTACACTGCCCTCTTGTGGAAGAGCTCTTGTGCAAAAGGGCTTATTCTTCATGGGCAGAGGAATAACTCTTCCGGAAGATGCCCTGTTTTACAACACTATACTGTAAATTTACTTGCACAAGAATGCTCGTGCAGCAGGCAAGTTTTTGTGCAAGAACAGTTGTTCTTGCTCAAGAAGCTGCCAGTGTAGACATAGCCTAAGATTTTTGCACAAAAACGGCCGATTTTGCACAAAAGCCGGGAGAGCTTCCACACCTCAAGTGCATCTTCGTGCGAAAAAAAACCCCAAAAACAAAAAACAAACAAAACAGAAAATCGACAGGACAGAGGGCTTTTGCCAGTAGAGTTATTCCTCTCCCTACAAGGAATAACTCCTTTTTGTGCTATAGCTCCCACACAAAAAGGCATGTGTGTGTGCTCCGCAGGGGTTTCTTGCAGAAAAAGCACAGGTGCTCTGATGGCCATTCTGTGAATGGCCTTCATAGCAGTGTGGATGCTCTTTTGTGCAAAAGCACATTGCTTTTGTGATGTGCTTTTGAGGTGTAGACGCGCTTTTGCACAAGAGTTTTGCGGAAGATCTCTTCTGCAAAAAGCTTCTTGTGCAAAAACCCTGCAGTATAGACAAAGCCTCTCTCTCTCTCTAACTCTCTCTCTCTCTCTCTCTCTCTCTCTCACACACACACACACACACACACACACACACACACACACACTCACAAACTCCACACATGCACCCAAACTTATACTTTGCACCAGGAAAAGGATCCTCTGGAATTAGAAAAGATGGATCAGTACTGTTGTAAGGCCATGACTATTAGGAAGAATAAAAGGCAAGCTTGTTGGAAGGACCAAGGATATGTATTCTTTAAAAAAAAAACCTTTAAATGGAGAGATTTAAGTTGTCTTTTAAAGACCCATTTATCTAATTCCTAGTTGAAAAGCCAGATATTACAGAACTTGTGTCAGAATTCTTTTGCTTTTCAGTGATAGGATTCATTCACTGTTAGGGTCCATTAATGATGAATAAAAATAATATTCCTAATAAAATACACCTTCTGGGTTTGAATGATGAAGGATACATTTTCACATTCACAATATGTCAATTGACAAGTACATTGGGTTGCATAAAAATGTGGGTTATGTGACACTAACAACATTCACATAATGCACATGAAACTCTCTATGCTCACAGGGACCCCATAGAAGGACCTCTCTCATGGCTGGCATTTTGTTGGAAATGGCAAGTTTTAAATCAATGTCAGACTGGCTGAGGGGTTGTTAAAACAACAAATCCTCCTGCCTGGTATGCTTGGGATGAGTGTTTCTGAAGCAGATATTTCAAAGATATCAGCACCTTGTTGGCATTCTAAGGATATATTGGTCCCTGTTTGTCCTGACTGCTAGTTCAAAGGACTCTGTCAAAGCAATTCTGCAGTACATTTGACTTAACCTCTTTCTTCCTTTTCCTGCACTTCACGATTTATTTTAAATATCCCTCTGATCAGGAGAAGACTTAAGAACTGTGATGTTAATTGTTGCAATCCTCATTTTGTTGGATTCCATGATCCAGTGCATAAGCATGCCAGTGTCTTTGAAATGACTTTTTTCTAAATGTCAGTATAGAAATATATCTTTCAGATTCTGCATGTAAAACTAAATGCTGCTGTTACTGCTGTTGCAGATACGAGAACATATCCAGCTATTACTCTACATTCTGTACTTCTTCCCTTTTTATGAGCAGACAAAATGTTTTGAAATTTATAGTAATACAACCATGATTGCAGCTGAGTTATCTACAGAAGCTGAGGAGTTAGGATATTTAGCAGTGTCACCCCCAAATGTAAAGACATTTTCTCCTCCCTTCCCACAACACTTTTTCTCTTCCAGAACAAACAGAATATGAAAAGCCCACTGCTGAGAGTATGTTTAGTTCTGGAACAATCATCCTTGTCAGTTTCACTCTGAGAAAGCTGGTTATCTTAGATTTGTTCACATGACTCAAGAGTGGGTTGGGGAATAATGACACTTGCCTCGATAGCATAACATGTAGTGAGGAAGAGAAAAGTAAAACAGGAATGTGAAAAAGCACTTTTTCTTGGCTGTACCTTGTCCCTAAAACCCAGTTTAAATGAAGTTAATTAAAATGATGAGAATGCCAAATTCTACTTTCAATACTTGCTCAGTCTTAAATAGTTCAATACCTGCAATGATTTATCCTCTGTGAAGTCTCAATATTTTAAAATTTGGAAACCTATGTTGGCAAAGTGTAATTCACTGTGCTTTGTAAGCAGGAGTTTTCAGATTACAGTGTGGTAATCTTAAACTGACATATCATTTAAAACTGAATAGATGTGAGGGAAGAATTTGGTCTCAACAGTCTTGTTGTTCATGTCTTTTCATTGGCTACATAAAAGTGAATATGGCTTGTACTGATGTACAGTTATTTGAAGAAGCACAATATGTAACAAGGATGAAAGGATGTTGACTGATACTGTGGAGCTGACAGTGAGTGCTTAGATTGCTGAAAAACAGTTGGCTAACCTGAACTGTTGTGCATTTAAATAAGGTATTGTAGTATATGTACTTACACAGCTATCTAGATATATAATTTGAATAAATAGAGACAGGATTTGAAGTTCCTTGAAGTTTACACAAAAATACAGGAATTATGCTATAATCAGGCTCACTGGGTAATGTTTTCCAGATGCATCATTTTCTTTCAAGATACTAATTGACTAAAACTTTTGAGTTAGTCTGAAAACCATTTGAAATAAATTTTGTGTTTGGGCTGGAAATTTTTCTGAGTACAGGAGTTACTACCACAAAACTATTTTCCTTAAATACTTGCCATATTTTCCTTTGATAGATCCAGTTACTTCTATATTATGCAGTGTTAAAGTTTACTAAACTTATAGGAAACACCTAAAATAGTACAAATATTGAGTTAAGATGATCAATTACTTAAAGCAACTGGCAAATTTTAAGAGTCTCCATGGGAAAAACATGTTCTATCTACAATACCCCAGCAAAGTCAGTAAATAAAGGTAAAAAAAGGCAAAGGACCTTTGACCTAAAGTTCACTAAAATCAGTGACAGAACTATCATTGACTTTAATAGGCTTTGGATAGAGACCTAACTGACTTAACAAGGGTTACATAGTAAAGCAGTAGCAAAGTTAGAAGCAGTGCCCAAATTTGCTAACTTTTTGTAATACACCATAAAATCTCAAGACCATAGTTCCTCGTACATGCTGAAAATGAAGACAGTAGTATGGAGTCCCTGTGGGATACCAATTTAGTCTGGAGGCATGGTTGGATTCAGGTCTGGGCATTATAGCCACATGTGTCTCTGTAGTCATACAGTGACAGATTAATATAGGCTTCCATTACAAAAAGATTCTATAGCTTATAGTTCAAAGAAGATCTAAATAATGTGAACTTAATGTAACCAAGACA